TCTCTCTCTCTCTCTCACCCTGGTTCTCTAATAAGCATCCTCCTATCCTCGCCTCCGGTGCTGCATGAAAAGATGCAAACATACTTAATTAGAGCGGTGGCAATAATTTCCAGGCTAAATATGCGACCAGACAGACATGGAAGTGATCTGATAGCACTCAGGAAGGATACTACCTGCTTCCCTGTGTAGGATCACTGTGCTTTTGTTTTTGTTTTTTTCTCCACCTTTATTCAGATGGCTTTTCTGTACACTTGCTTTCAGGAGGGAAGAAGCATGTCACGGCTGTCTCTGACCCGGTCCCCGGTCTCTCCACTGGCCGCTCAGGGGATCCCTCTGCCGGCTCAGCTGACCAAGGCGAACGCCCCGGTGCACATCGACGTCGGGGGACACATGTACACCAGCAGCCTGGCGACCCTCACCAAGTACCCAGACTCAAGGTAAGACACGTCTCTGGCTCTCTCACTTTGCTGGAGTCAGTTTATTCATTCATGCCCTTTGTCTCATTTATCACAGTCATTAATAAGGGAATATTGGCATATTGATGAGTGGGATTTGCATCCTGTTGCTTTTGTTTTAAATGTGAGATTATTGTGATTTTATAGGATTTGGAGTCTCTCATTCTACTTTATAATGTCAAATCCTACTTAAATCTTCTAATATATTTTAATCAGTTTATGTTACTATTTAATAACTTAATATTGCATTTTAGTCATTAAATAAATTATTACATTATTTGGCTGAGTTGCTGTTAACAACTCATTTAGCTGGCAGGCATCAGGACAACTGTACTGCAACTTCTGTACTGACAGCTGCCCTCAGAAGCTACCACTTTAATATCTTTTAAAACCATGTGGGTACATTTCTCATCCCTTCATTATTTCTAAAGATTCATTTGATTGTTTTTGCTTGTTCTAGTCGTGATTATTTCTAATTGTTTAATAAATACCTCCAAGGCATTTATTTTTATCTCCTTTCACACAGTGGTTGTATAATAATAATAATCATAATAATTTAGCTGCTGTCAAGCTGGCAAGTACAGTACCTTTCACATGTTTTACTGCTAATTAAATGGTGGTGTTTGTGTGAATTTACACACCACACAAACATTTCTGCGTGTACTCACTACACCCTCTTTCACAGCCTCTGTGCTTTTTTTGCTTTTTTATCAGTAGATTAGGGTGCTGTTAAGAATCCTTGGAGGAAAAACAATGATGTAAATGTCTGAATCCCTGTCATCACAGCTGATGTGGGGTAGCTTCAGATCAGATTCTGATTAAAATCTAGTTCATTGGCATGTTGCATTTTGATTTTCTTGACTTTTTTTAGAGCCAGCATTTACCACCATTAGATCTTCTTTATAGTTGTTATTCGTGATCAAACACAGGGCTTAAATTCAAGATGCATGTATTATAATAAAAGTTCTATGTCTACCACTCTGTAGATATTCCTATTTTGTGGGACAACATAGTCATTTTTCAAAAATTTCAAATAGCCTGGAACAGCTTATATTGCAGTCAAACTTTGAGGGTGACTTTCTAGTCGCTGAATTTTTGGGTGGACGGGAAAAGAAGGGGACTCCTGCTCTCTCAGGCATCTAATTCTCACATACATAAAGCAAACAGGGTTTTATTTTTGATACACTTCTCCACTCCATTATAAGATTTAGTCATGCTGATTCAGATTGTGTAAGAGCTGTTGGTAATCCAGCCTCCCACTTTATTCACGTTTTTAGCTCCATCCACAAACAAGGTGACACCACCGGCAGAAGCTCTGAAAGGAAACACACATAACGAACGACAAAATGTCTCTGCTGATTTCCACTGTGTGAATTTTACCCCTTCAAAGCAATGGGTGTTTTAGACCCCCTGCTTTTTCCTCTAATGCAGTGTGTCATTCATTAGATTATACAGTCTTCGATTCTGCGTCAGCTGACAGAGTCCCATGTGGGCCAAGGTAAACATTTACCGGGTTGTTAGAAAATCTGCCAAATTGGCTACAGGAAACAATCCACATAATCCCTTGGTAATAAAGTCTTGATATTCATAGAGTCCACTGACAGGAAATCCCTGACAACTCTGCTTTTATTCCTGACTGTAACATGTCATGAGAAAAATAAAGCTCATCCCAGACAAGGGTTTATGATTGTTTTTGTTATTGCGGCGCTTCTTTTGCCCACTGTTTCGGTGTTATATTAGGTTTATCCAGGGGCCACAAGACAAGAGGGTTTTTTAATAAAATGTGCTAATGTTATTTGGATCTTGATGTTTTTTCGAAGCTGTTGGAGCCAATCAAAACTGTTTTTTCAAAAGATTTTCATTTACTTTAAAGCATGTTTGAACACACCTCACAGTTGTTAGACTGCAGGACAATTTTTAATTTTAATTTTAATTGGGTTTTTGTGTATTGCTATTGTGTTTCTTCATTTTTTATGCTTCGGTGCAGCTTTACACTTTACAAAGAAGTTATTCATAGGGTGAGACACACATGGCACCATGCATAAATGGAGCACAGAGTCATGTCAGAGCACCTAAACAGTGTTTTTTTACAGTGAGAGTGAAGAGTGGTTACCAGTGTGAATGTTGGTTGGAGTGCTCTCTCTCTCTTTCTCTCTC